TATATATATAATTTTTTAAATAAATTACTAAAATATTCAAACTTATCAACAGAAATTTCATTTTCAAATATATTTATATATACACTGTGATCAATTCAATAACATATATTCTAATCTTAAATGAAATTTATAATTATACTTAATAATAATATCTTAATGCAAGTCATTTTAGAATTTTTAATATATAAAGCTAGTATTTATAAATATATAAAATTTTCATCAATAAAAATTTGAATTTAGTACTTTTGAAAATAACCCAAATTTTAAGTGGCTAGTTTGCATTAAATGCATTACTGAAACATAAGGATAAAATATTCACTTACATATTTACTTCAATACTGTGATTTAATATTTGAACATTTATAGTGAGCTTTTTCTTTTTAAACTTAAGAGATATATGGGAATGAAAATATCAGAGTATCTTATTTCATTTTACTCACTGTTCTCTTTAAAGTGAAAGCAATATTCAGAATCACATTTCAAATTGAAAATAAATTGTAAGTCATTTTAAACTAAAGATAAATAGATATTTTATTTCATTTAAATAAAATATTAATAGTTTTATATTTGTAATAAATGACATTCTTTCTACTAAATTAACAAATCCTTTAAAATATGCAAGAAATAAATAAATTAAAATTTAAACAAACCTACAAACTTCTAAAATATTTCAGATTACACTAAGACTAGTTTTTAATTACCTAACAGAATTTGGGTTGCATTAAGGTCTATTAATTAAAAATTTGTCTTAATATAGTGTGAAATAAACTAAAGTTTTAGGTTTATGTTTGGCGTAAATGTGGTCTTTTTGTATATAATATGAAAATTTTAACATTGATGCATTTATAAAATAATTTAGATAAATTATCAAACATATTCATATTCTAATAGACAAATGATCTGATCATTTTCAAAATGCTTTTTATACAAATCTTTAACTGTTTACTGAGCTATTGAATTTAAAACAATGTAATATTTTAAACTCAGTACCTCAATTTTCATTAAATAAAACTATGTCGATATTATTCTTATTTTATTATACTATTTTTCTGTGACTTATTACAAAATGTCTCCCTTTCTAAGTTCCATAATTTCTTAAAAAATGTTATAGCTCTATAGGATCTCAGATGAATTCCAAAATATTTAGCTTTCTCACTAGTTGAAGAAAAGTAATCATAGGATACTTGTGGTTATTAAAGGTTAGATTATTATTTACACAAACATTTCTGGAAACTTTTTGCAATGCTACTTTGATGAATCATATTAGATATGAACTTGTCACCTTATCAAGTAGAATACACCACAATTAAGTTCTTTGAAGTTTTTTTTAAATTTTTCTAATGATTGTTATTATTGAAAACTATAAGAATACAGTATATAATCTCACAAAAATTTTAAATAAACTATAAACTTTTATATTTTATGTTAAACTGAATGGTATCCAATTATATATATATATATATAATTAGATGTTAATTATACCTATTACAATACACTATAATTGTTTACACTTACTGATTCAAAATGTTATTAGCAACTTAATTTTGAATAAATCAATTCTGATTTTTATCCTACATAAAAATAAATTAAATTTTTCATATTTAATTTGTTCTGTACATAAAAATGATTGTAATAATTTTTAATTACAATGATTTTTTATTAAAAGAATAACAACTAAGATTCATTATTAATAATTTTATTTCTCCAAATATAAAAATTATTAATATTTATTAATGCAAAAAACTAAATTAAATAAGTTTCTAAATTTTATTAATGAAATATATATGAGTACATGCATTCGTTGTTTATTTTGTACTTTATCAGAATAATTATTTTTTACATTAAATTCTAAGCTAATCTTCCAAAACTTTATTGATTTTTAAAAAATCAATGGATATAAAAGAAACTTTGTATATGATTTGAGGAAAATAATGAACAATCAAACATTTATCTATAAAATTTTAACATTTATTTATCTTTTCATTCATTTGTATATAGACTAATTTACTTTTATTAAATTTATTATAGTTTTAAAATTTTAATTATTGTAACAAAATGTGTAAAATCTCTGACATTATATAATTTGAATTAAATTACTTAACAAATTAAAATTAACAATTATATGATTAAAAATTTAAATGATCTTAGACATGACATTTTGTCAACTTTGCTGTTCATTTCATTATTAATAAGTCTTTCAAAGAATAATATTCAAAAATTGGATCATTTCACTATAAATATGCTAATTTGCAATAATTAAAACCAATAGTAATATAAATTAATGCGAATTTATTCCAACTCTTAAAGTAATTTGATGCACGAACATAACCTATGCAATAACTAACTATACCTGTTATTTATAGTATAAATTCATTTTTAATACACAAATTAGTTTCTAGAAATATATATGGAGAGAAAAAAATTAATTAACACATAAAATTTGTAAATAGTATCATTAACTTTTTCATATTCAATAGTCTAGTCTAGATAATATACTCTATTTAATTTCAAATTAAATATATTAATAATTTAACAAACTAGAAAATTAATTACATTATTATAGAATTAAAATTAATTATATATATTAACTAAATAAAAAACAAAAATTATCTTTCATATTAAGCTATTATTATATAAAGTTTTATTTAAAACACTTGAAAAATTAATTGAGGAGTGTATAATAAATAAATGTGGCTTTTTTTTATGCATCTTATTTATCATTTATAAAGTCAAATTACTATTTACAAGGAAGAAGTTCTGAATTTGGTGATTAGAAAAAGTTAGAAAATTATACATGTGATTATTATATAATTTTGAAAATTTAAATTGTTTTTTCTATAAAAAAAAAAACACAAGTTTTATGTAAAGCAATTTTACAATTTGTTGCTTAAAGACATGTACACAAGTGTAATGTTTACGTAGCATATTTATCCAGCCTAAATAATATTGACAACTTACTAATTAAACAAATCCAAGAATTATAGAACTTATGATAAATAAATCAGCAAACAGAAGAATATTTCATGGGCAAACAATTGATTTATTGCATTTTTTTCCCTATCTGATCGGTAGCTTTAATATTAGAAACTGTCAATTGAAGCAGACAGCTCTAGACGAGGCCAGCTGAAGTCAACAACCGTTCGCTTATAACCAATTCCGGACTAACCGCTTAACACTAAACTTTAAACAGTTTTCATACAACAGCATTAACGCTACAACTAAACTGGTAAATATGATACGTTACCTTTCAATATTTTCTTCCTTTACCAGTTTTTCCTTATCGTTTTACTCGACCGATTCACCCTTCTATCCGTCGTCTCCCATCCAAAATGGCGGTCTCGTGACGTCACGATCGTCAATGATGTCATTGAGGCTCATTACGTCACTAGATGGAATCGGCACGTGCTCCAACAGTCTAAAAATCTTGGAAAAGTGATGAGGATCATCCTTAATCGTCGTTACGTTCCAGTTTTTTCCCCCCTTTATAGAGTCGTGTGAAGAATAGGATAAATCTATCGAGAACGTTTTTATTTTTTTCTTTAAGCACATGTTTAACATCTGATACCTAAGCATTGATACTAACAAAACTCTCTCTCTACAGGAACCAGACCAAATATGGAAACTACTTCATAAAGCGTTAACGCGTTCTAACCGCAAAATATTTTAATACGACCGCGTTAAATTATCGATTAAGCAATATTCTAAACGTATAACACTTTGTAGAATATCGAATAAATTACTTTAAAAAAAAAGCATTTTAATCTCATAATTTTTTCCATCCCTGTCAATATTATATATTTTTTTATATTTTTTTTTTTATGATTCCCTTCTGAACTGATTATCGTAAAAATATCATAAACAGTAGTATCAAGGATACAATCCTATCATAAATAATTTTTTTTTCTTCAGTTTATTTGATCGGAAACAGATTCTGGTATACATTTTTATCATATAACATTACCATAATTGGAGTGTAAATTATGTGTAAATTCCAATGTTATCAGAGTTTTGCAAATGCTAAACATGAATCTGTGATATAAATATAATAATTTTTGTTTTTAAATTTACTTTTTTAAAATATGTTTTTAAAAATTTAAATATATAATATATACTTTGATGTCATTGCCATGAACCCACACATTATTATGGATTGCCAGCTCCTCCCAAATCTGTTAAAATATCTAAAAAGAGTCACGTATTAAATCGCTCATAATACGTGACCATCATTAATAATTAAGAATAATTTTATAAATTGATCGCTTAAAGTAAATAAAAATTATGTAATAAAATGTAAAAATTACGATCGATATCTATATATTTTTTTGGCAGTGTATCGGATTAAAAATGAATAAATCTACAGGAGGAATTTCTGTTTTATAATAAAAATAAAAATAAAGCTGAATCGATTGACACAACTGAAAAATGAATAAAAAACAATGAAGAGTAATGATTATGCAAACGAGATATTCATAAGAGTAATGTGTTTTAGAATAAACTATATAAAAATATTTTAAAGTTAATATATAAATGTTTCAAAGTAGAGTAATGTGTTTATGGATAAGTTTAAAAAATTATTTAAAATGAATAATTACTTGCAAATCAGTAGCCTAAAGAAATTCTAACAATAACTGAAACAAAACATTCTATAATGTATGTGTATATATATATATATACTATGTATATATATTTGTGTGTGTGTGTGTTTTTTTTACTATAGTTTCTTCGAAATTGTATAAATGTCAATCCACATTCTTTCTCCTTGTATCGATCTTTCTACTGTCATTTGATTTGAAGAAAAAAAAAATTTTTCAAATCAAAATGTTTTGTCTAAATTTTTTACTATATTTTTAAAAAATAAATAAATAAGTATCATTTTATGTCAGACATTCTAGTTTCAATTTCATAAAATTAAATAATATATATAATTATAGTTGTAAAACTTAAGTTTTTATCAAAAATAAATTCATCTGACACTTATATAACGATTAAATAGAATTATTTTATTTTATTTTTTTTAGATTTGTGAAGTGTTGTTTATTATTAGAAACTTATGAAAATATTTACTTCTTAATCATTCAACTGTTTATCTTATAAATTTAAAAGGAAAAAATAAAAATATAAAAGACGAAAACATATTTATTAACAATATTTTAGTTCAAAATAAAATTTTATTTTATATTTAATTAATAATGATTTTTTTAAATGAAAAATCTAAATATTTAACAGAATTATTAAAGACAAATAATTATTTAACTTTTCTAAATTTTAATTCCTAAGGATTAAATATATTTATTTTAAATTAAGATACATTGTAAGGTTAAACTGGCTTGAAATAGCTGTCAATTAAACTGGAAGTTTTAAAACATTGCCTTAACAGACATAAATCATTTAAAATGATAGGTGCAATAGCCTATCTACAATGATAACATCTTATTTAATATTATAAATCGGTAGTTAGTTAAATCGCTCTAACAATATTCTTTACGAATGAACTATTTAAAAATACATTTAAAAAATAATTTTATATAATGCATAGCCAAACATAAACATAATTACAAAATAAATAAGTTATTAATTAATTCNTTGTAAATTAATAAAAGTTTTAAAATTATGGGTGATTCTGGGTATCTAGGGAACTATAGCCCCCTTCTGATTCAACTGATGATTTATGATAATGACTTTTTGAAATAAAATTCGAACATAAAAATAAGAATTATCACTTAAATTTTATATTCGTAAAATATTCTTGTATATCCGAATAGCACAGAATATTTTCAAAATATAAATTCTTCAAGTACTAGGTTCAAATCACTAGTTTTGACTAGTTTCATGCAAATTTTACACCATTCATTCTAAATGCTCTTTCCAGGCACGTTGTAAATTACTTTAGACCGAATTTTCTTTACAATCAGTTTATAGTGGTCATTGTGAGATAAATATTAAATAAAAAATCCACAAATACTTACTTTGACCAGTTATGATCATACAGATGACTATTTTTGGCCATAATAAACAATGAATGAAAAATAAAAGCAATAAAAATTATTTATTTATAAATTTTAATAATGTCGTAACACAAGCAGATGAAAAATTAAATAGTTTAAACTGTCATCTGACATAATTATTATATATATAGGTAAACCTCGATATAACGTCTTTCTAAATAGCACACCCTTACAAACAGAACTTCCCTGTAAAAATATCAAATTCTTCAGTATTTGTAAATTACGAAATGTACGGGACAGTACGATTTTCTATTACAAACGTTTATTTTGCAAACTTGCTCATTAATATTTCGTCATAAGCTGATTCCTCCATATAAGTCTTATTTGAAATCCATCGATTTAGTGCAAATTTTCAGATACGAACTAATGGTGACGCTAAATCGAAGTTTGACTATATGTGTGGACCTCTTAAAAATATTACTGGAGCTACGCCTGATTTAAATATAACTCTACTAAAATTTTAATAAAAAATTAATACAGAAAACAGTCGCCTTTCATTTGTTTTCAGCTCCGGAAACTATTTCATTTTATTCTGTGTGTAGCGTCTTTGCAATCCAAACAATAATTTTGGTAGACGATCAAATAGCGATTCATATGATCGTCTATTAAAATTATTGTTTGAATTACAAAGACGCTACACACAGAATCTGAAGATACAGCAACCATACCTTCTACATTATTTCATTTTAATTTTTATTAATACCTTGTATAAAAATCATCCATTAAAGATTTATTAAGTACTGCATAGTACAGTACATGAATTTGTTAAAGCTACTTATAACCTATTAACAATTACTTCTGTTATACACATTTCAAGAAAACAACATTATCCTGATAGCATTCATGTCCTATTGTTAATGCTATTCAGTAATATATTTCTCAAAAGATTAACTTGCTAATTAAGTTCTGATAATAAATTGACTTTTAACATTTATAAATTTAAATGTTAACGGTTTCCAAACACATTGTAAATTTATAAATGTTATCAATAGTTATTATGCACTTATAAATACTTAATAAACACATTTCTAATGCTAAATATTGATTTATTATTGCACTTGTAACCAATTAATAATCATATTTGTAATCGTTAAAAATAGATTTACTGTATTTATTAGAAATATAATTATTTAATAATTAAATTAATATATAATGTATTAAAAGATAATTTCCAGATATTATTGATAAGTGCATAAACTGTATGCTGTATATAGGTTTAACTAGTGTTATCGGAAGCTTGGTATGGGCCCAGGATAGAGCGGGCCTCTTTTACCCATTAGCGAGCCCCTTTCGCCTTTTTTTTTTTTTTTTTTTTTTTTTAAACGTCCCTTCTT